AAAAAAAAAAAATTTAGGATCTATCAATTTTCATTTTTGAATTTTTTTAGTTTTAATTTTTTAAAAGTTTAAAATTTTATTTGTTAGAATATATTTTCTTTTTCAAATTGTTAAAATTTTACTTAAAAAAGATTATATCTAAGGGCTTTTTTCATGAATGCATCAGTTAAAAAAAGTAATTCTCATATTACCATGTGACGTGAATTTACCTCAGATATACTGGATTGAATGGAAAATATGTCCAAATATACTAGTTACCATATTTGACATTGGAATCTCTAATTTGTAACTGATGGAAGTAATGGATGACCCCTTCACACGTTTTTAATAAATGCATACCATAATCAGTTTTCCATTTCCAAAATGAAAAATATATGGATGAATACCTGCTGTCATATGGATGATGAGCGTGGAGTAAATACACAGCAAGAGACAAAACAACCTGCTGGAACCTTGTTGATCACCTGTAATCGGTTTTCATCCATTGAAGCCATATCGTCTCCTCCACCAGAAATCTTCATATCACTGGGATAGAAACCTGCCACCTGTAATCATTTTTCATTTGGTATGTTATGCTACAAATTTCGAAATCTTCGTATATTATCGTAGTATGTAATGTCCCTGTCTTTAGATATAGTATGACTGTCCCTTGATGATCTGCATATATTCAAATTATTCGAACGACCGGTTTCCATGAATATGTAATGTTGAGATGAAGCAACCATAATTATATAGTCGCAGCTTGTTTATCCTTTTGCAAAATAAAATATATCCTAGAGTCTAGTCCATATGATGTGTTCATGTCTGTGATCGATGTTCTTAGTTTTCAGATTTTTGTTGCACATGTTGTCGAACAGCTATGTCACGACATGTGTTTCTTCTGGGTATGTTAAATTAATTCAAATCTGGGCTGATCCTAGTACATTTTGAAGCAAATATGTATACATCGTGATTTTTATTTATTTTATGTTTCGATAAAATAGCACGGATTCTCCACTTGTAAAGATTGAATACCAAATTGTTATTTGAGATTGAATAACAAGCAACTGGACATTGTTTTGGTTCCAACGCTTTAATTCATCAGTAATGAACTTGCAACATTTTTCCATACAATTGAGTTCTTTACTTACATTTTTGCAACTCACAAAAGCAAACCGTTGAGCCGAATGCACATTCGTTTTTTTCTAGTGAATTGTCATTACACTCCTAAATACCTTTTCGATGTATCTGTAACGTTGTTGATCTTACACTCTGATTTGGTGCTGTAAAATATCCATTTACATCGAATATAAATGCTTACTTACATCTTGAACGTGACCAATTCTAATCGACGAACTTTTTTTGTAATATAAGAGTAAGTCTACATAATTTTTGACAATACTATTTCTTGTATCCTTGTAGAGAATTATGGATGCAGTGAACGTATTTGTTAGTCATGGAACAAATACATTTGGTCTACTTGTTCCTTGTGGTTGCAGTTTCGTGAATTTTGTAGATATGATATCGAAAGAACTGGAGGTCGACGTTAGTCGTCACTGTATCAATATTCAGTATAGTGCAGATGAGGGTATGTATCCAATCCGTATTACGAATGACAGTTCCCTACAATTTTACCTGGTGCTTAAGCGTAAGGATCCACGCATCACGACATATGCACTACGTATCCACTTGACTGATGTCTTGAACTCCACAAACATTACCTGTACTCAGTTCTTTGAATCGAAGTGTGCAACAATCCGAGGTTGTCAATGGCTCATTCATTCCGATGTCTGTGTTAACTATTATAAACCCAGTTCCAAATGATTTGATATCGGGAATTGAGGTATCGGTGCTGGAGTCTACAGACGACAAAGGTGAAGAGATGACAAATATAGCTAATAAGCCTGATGTGCAATTTGTATGTGCAAATCAGATTTTTCGAGATAAAGATGTGTTGAAGAAGACTCTCAGTCTATACACATTATCTGGCTTTTGTCTCTCTCTCTCTCTCTCACACACACACACACACACACACACACTCTCTCTCTCTCTCTCTCTCTCTCTCTCTCTCTCTCTCTCTCTCTCTCGTATTAGTCTTTCTTTTCGAATCGAAGTGTGCAACAATCCGAGGTTGTCAATGGCTCATTCATTCCGATGTCTGTGTTAACTATTATAAACCCAGTTCCAAATGATTTGATATCAGGAATTGAGGTATCGGGGCTGGAGTCTACAGACGACAAAGGTGAAGAGATGACAAATATAGCTAATAAGCCTGATGTGCAATTTGTATGTGCAAATCAGATTTTTCGAGATAAAGATGTGTTGAAGAAGACTCTCAGTCTATACGCTATCCGTAATAACTTTGAATTTAAGGTCTACAAATCTGACCAGAAAGAGTACGTGCTCAAGTGTCTCATGGATAATTGTGAATGGAAGTTTAGAGCTTCGAAGATTGGTGATACGGATATGTTCAAGATACGTTATATAAGGAATGTTCATACTTGCTCCTTGGAAAACATTATAAGGAATCACAGGCAGGCGAACAGCATGTTGATAGGAGAATGTGTTAAGCACAAGTACACATCCGCACGAACTATATATACTCCAATTGATATAATGAACGACATGGCAGAGATGTATGGAGTAAACATGAAATATGGAAAAGCATGGAGGGCAAGAGAACATGCTCTTGAGGTCGTTATGGGTAATCATGAGAAGGCATATGCAAGGCTTCCACATTTCATGAGCGAACTGAAAGAAAAGAATCTTGGAACAATAACAAACATAGAAGCCGACTCGTTCGGACAATTCAAGTATGCTTTTATGGCCTTGGGTGCATCTATTCAAGGGTGGAAGAATTGTAAGCCTGTTGTAGTGGTCGATGCAACGTTCCTCACGGGACGTTACCGTGGTAGTTTATTCATCGCTTGCACGCAAGACGCAAACAATGGCATATTCGTCCTTGCTTTCGGTATCGGAGATTCTGAGAACAATGATTCATGGAGTTGGTTCTTGACTAATTTTAAGCAAGCTTATGGCGAGCGCAATGAGATGTGTTTCGTCTCAGATCGTCATCAGAGCATTGAACACGCCGTCAATTCGATATACCTAGGGGTTATGCATGGATTTTGTGCTCGTCATTTGTTACAGAACCTCCGCACTTCGTATGGCTATGCTGGCAAAAACATTGCAAAGCCATTTAATTCAGCTGCGAGGGCGTATACGAAATATGAGTTCAAGTACCACATGAGGCAGCTTGATAAGATTAATAAGGGCATTCGAAAAGATTTAGTACGTACATTTTTTCATAGTTTTTTACTTTTTTTTTAGCAAAAAATGGACACATCGTCTTCATGGAATAAAATTTCCCAACTACCCTTTTAATGTTACATGAAGAATAGAATGGCCATTCTGTAAACTATTTTGACTGTTTTTCTTGTGTAACGCAGGAGCTGGTTGGATTCCACAAGTGGGCGAGATGTCATATGTCCCGTAATCGCTACTCAGCAATGATGTCAAACATTGTAGAGTCCGTGAATTCGGCCGTAAGGCCACTTAAGCAATGTCCGGTAGATTACCTATTCGAGGCATTAAGGCACCTGTTACAAGGATGGTTTTATAAGAATCGAAATGTAGCAATTGGCACTTTCACGCGACTAGCTGGCAAGCAAGAGAACGTTCTGAGGGAGAATTCTGAAGGATCACTGGTGTTAAAGGTAAATCAGCCTAATTGATATGGCAATTTGTAATGTATAGTAAAACACCACATAAATCAAAAGTAATACCTATTTCTGCATTATTCTATTTTTATTTGGGTATGCATCGTCCCCAATGTTGAACAGATTGAATCTACCTATTTATTAATATCAATAACCCTATGTTTGTAATGTATTACTTTGGTACAAGTTGCAGGTTTCAGCGTCAAATGAGTTCTTGTATGAGGTGACAGATGATGGTACAAAGCATATTGTAAACTTGGCGTGCATGACGTGTACATGTAACCATTTTCAGGTAGATGGTGTTCCATGTAAACATGCGTTGGCGGTGATAGGAGAGAATGGAGAGTCGCCGTACAAGTATTGCTCACATTACAACACAAAGGTAGCGTACGTTGACACCTACGCCGGTGACATTGTTCCTTTGGGTTGTCGCGAACAGTGGAGTAATGTTAATGATGTGAATCTGAATGATATCCTCCCACCCAATTCAAAGAGACCAGCTGGGCGACCGAAGAATTCTCGGAGGCGAACAAGGCTCGAATCCATTAATCCAGTCATGTGCGGACGTTGTAGAGGGAAAGGTCATAATAAAAGAACATGTAATCAACCACTCCCGCTTTGCCATGTGAGAAAACGAAAGCGCGGCTCATAATTCAACAATTGAAGTATGTTCACATAAATTTACCAATTTACGTTGTGGGACGTAGGACCTTTGATTTTATATGTACTTCAATAATAAGTTCTCATTACATATAGCGTATGTATACCTTCCCAATACAAAACTTTAAGCACACGATGTCGTAATTCTTGTTGACGGTCTACATTTTTTTTGTTGACGGCATTAACATGTTTTGACGTCATTGTGAGTGCTCATTATTCTAAGCCTATAATGATTCAAATTTGTCCTAGATCTTCATCACAATGCTAACGTAAATAATCAATAATTTCATTACAGGGTTGAAAATGCACTCTGAAATATTAACTTCTCATTTTTTGGTCTAAGCCACCGTAAACAAAACTTAAACCATAATTTGAAGCAAACAAGTGAAACAACCCAGATTTAATTAACTTCTCATTTTTTGGTCTAAAACACCGTAAACAAAACTTAAACCATAATTTGAAGCAAACAAGTGAAACAACCCAGATTTTTATTAATTTAACGTACCCAAAGGAAACACATGTCATGGCGTAGCCGTTCTCACAACATCGCAGAACTTAAAACTAGGCACACGTAAATCACAACAAAAAACTGAATACTAACAACACCACATGAACACATCATATGCACTAGTCTCTGGGATATCTTTTATTTTCCAAAAGGATAAACAAGCTGCGACTACTGAACTACTCGATCATCAGTCCCTTCATCTTCCTCTTTCGCCTCACGCTTCGTGGTACCAAGTCAAAGTCGGTGTCGTATGCTTCAATCACCTTCTCGCATCCATGTTTGAGAAGCTGAGATGCTAGACTGGTTCTATATTTGATTGGGTCTAACATCCACGACGCCTTATCAGTAACTCCATTTATGATGTATTCGGCAAACCTTATCACGTATAGTCCACAATCTTGTCTGCTCACATTCAGAGAAAAATGTTGGTAAAAAAAGTAAATGGCAGTAGGATTATAGATAAAGCAAAAATGTATTCAAATTTAAAACAATATGTGAAATGTCAGCCTTCATGTCATATAATTTTTTCTGACCAAATTAAAAGCTTGTGAAAAAAATCGATGGCGTGAAAAAATATTATGGCAAGTTTGTATACTAAATATGAAACACAATTATCTATTGAACACAATCAAGGTTTGATATGAAAAATATTGAAGATAACGTTACCTTGTAATGGGGAAACATATAAGTTAGCGTAATATGCGTACCCGTTGTCATTTTGGGGGATGTCAGTGATGATGTTCACGTCAAGAGGTGTCACCAGTCCTATACGATCGGCAGGGCTTGCTTGCCAAGCATTAATCTTGAACATCAAGCATGGAAGTACGTATGCGAAGGCCTCAATGTCAGAAAACACCATCCTGTCACTAATAGTCAGACGGTTGGGGTTATATACGTTCAGGAACCTTCGCTTGATATCAAATTGTCCCAATATCCAATGAGCTTTCTTGTCCATCATAATAGGAATGATAACGTTATCCACATCGGCCCATCTAGTGTTGCAATGCATGTATTCCCCCTTAGCATACTCAACCAACAATCTGAAATTAGAAATAGCATTTATGTCCTTACTGCATGCTTTGTATGCTGCTCGGACCATCGACCCGAAGAATGAATCAGTCGTTGTACCATTGAAGGATATCACTTTTCTGAACTTGACCATCTTACGAAAGTAGTAAAAACACACATTCAAGTGCTGCATGAATTTTTGATGTTAGGCAATTCAGTGGTGTAAAAAAAGACTATATGAAGTTGGAGCTAACAATGGCAAGGTGTTGTGTACTTATATATTACCGTATCCCTCATACAGACATTGGGTTGCCGTAGTTCGTACCACCAAGTCTTTCTGTCGATCATATACGGCCCGAACTGGAGAGGGGGGTTGAGTATGTCTTTGGATGGTGGAAACTTGAAGGTTCTACGTTAGTATGCATATGATGTAAATTGATTAATAAACTACACCTGAAAGACATGAATGCAATACTGTAGTCTGTATCAACAACACACTTACGTTTGTCCTGACTTGAAGCCATCCTGAAACCAATTCTCAAACGCCTCAAAATCGTCTATGTGAGGTGGTGCCATCCCTTCTTTAATAGCATACATACGATAGTTAGTGTTAAGGTTCGTCCCTGAAACTGCCACAGCAATGTGTGATTTTAACAGAATACATTTATGAAGACGTAAGAAAAAGAACATTAAGTACGTAGCTTGAATTTGTGAAGTGTTTTCACTTGATCACCTGGTGTGTTGATCTGCAATAAAAAATGTAAAAGTCAGGAAAAATTTAATAAATGTAAAAGTCATGGATATGAGAAATAATAATAGATTACATCGTTGAAAAAAAAACAATAAAACTACGTCTAGAACTACATTACCAGTCCCACTGTGTTACATAACGGATGAATCGACACTACATTATTCTTTTTCGTTGGCGTTGCTTCATTACTGTTATTCTCATCCCCTGGTTCGAGTAAAATGACATTTTGGGCAGGTTCTCCATCCATCTGAAATTTGAAACATGATCTACACATTTATCGATAACATCCAAAACACTAATCGATTGCTATTTAGCTATTAGTGTTTATTGTTGTGAAAGATACTAAATGATTGATAGATGTACTTACCATTGGTGCTTTCGGATTAGCCAGGACGCCACATACAACTGGTCTGGACTTCTCAAGCAGGTAGTTAGGTGTTGTATCTAGATGGAAAAGCTTCTTGCTGTACATATTTGCATGCCCCGTTGGTTGTGAGTCGTTTCGAAGTACGTGCTACAAACCATATGAAATTTATTGATGTTGGTACTTTGTTATTATAAAAAAGAAATGACTTTCATTGTGCATTAAAATATTACAAATGTAACAAATAATATAAACATTTCAGTTTGCACTACATAAAGAATGTGTTTTTTTACCTGTAGTATGCTCTTATGTTTCATGGAATGAACACTGTTCACAATGTTGTCGACTTGAATTAGGTCTTCCTCAGTAAAATGTATGTCGTCATGAGTGTCTGTTGCCAATTCAATAGTTTTCGAACTCTTCTCGCCCACGACTGCATGAACAGTTTGATGGGGCAAGTTGTTATCGTCCTTCATTGCAAACATTTCAACATTGTTGTTAGGGGTGTTACCATATCCCCCGTCCTCTCGTGCCTATGGAAAAAATTGGTACACATTAGAGGTGTTATAAAACAAATAATTGATGAAACAAAAATATGTACAGAGTATTTCGGGCTGTGTATATAACCTTAGTCTCCATCGCAGCTGACTTCTTCTTCGATATATCAGTAGACGCGTTACCATAATCATGGTTGTCACTGTGAGTATTTCGCCTAATCTCCTCCATCAAACATCTGTACTTGTCTTCAACGAACCTCTCAACCCGCTGAATGTCCGTCTTCAAATCATTATGTAAATTTATTATTTCATTCTGTTTATCTTGAAGGTCGAGAACATGGAACTGCAGTTCTCCTACTATCTTAAAATCATGAGGTCTCTCGTATGATTGATGTGGCTGTATGTGGTATTTACAATATGATATCGTAAAATCAGTCAAGAAAATTTGATTCTCATTATATAGAAGGTGCATTTTTTATATGTTCGACCTTGTAATGGAAAAATTCTAACCTCTCGTTGATCTGATATGTCACGGATATTCCGCTTGGAGCAATGGACAAAATCACCTTTTGACATGTTTTTTTTCTTTTTTCCTTTCACGTCGTGAAGATTGACCTTCACAACATCATGATCAGTGCGAAGAGTGTCAACTGATTTGAATGCGGGTTCTTTGATGTGTAGCCCAACGAAGTATCCTGCCTTTATCTCGACTTCACTAGGCTGTATCACCGTAACTTTGACCTGAATATATTATATGAAGGAATAAATGTGAAATGTAACCTTGAAAAAATTTAAATTCTTTTATGGAATGAAAGATATGGACACGTGAACTTTAATAGTATATTAACAAGGCATACCTGATCGAGGTCGTACAACATCTTATCAAGATCTGCTGCGGTAACACGTGAATCGTCTGTTGACCAATTTAAGATGCGTGGAAAATTGTGAGATACTCTGTTACACACTACACCGGATAGCAGTGGTATGGACTCATAGATCCATATTTGAAAAGCGAGCGGAAAGCCATAAAGTCTATATGATATTGTAGATTTGGGATCACATTTCATTTGTTTGGGCTTCTCGAGGGCTATATTCATATAGTAGAGTGTGTTTTGGTACAATTCCTTGCCCTATGGGAAGGTGTCCATGTGCGAAGAGTCCACGATTCGCATCAGTTCATGTTTTATCATCGTGGGTTGTGGGGACGTGTACAGGAAAGAACTGACAAGGTATAATATGCCCAACTTCACAACATCGTCGTTAGGCGTGTTCTGAGGAAGATGTAGAAATTTCTGTTCCACGTCCTTCCTATAAACATTCTTTATGTTGCCAAAGTATTTCCTTTTCAGTCTGCAATCACCAGCTTTAAAGTTGTTTAAGTTGTCCTCTCCAGCGCAATGCAACCCAGTTACCATACAAAATTCTTTGATTGAAAAGGTAAGGAGATTCTCGGCGACCTTGAGCCACATTTCATTATCGTTGGACTGCATTACTTCCATTAAAAGCATTTTGTGGATTGTTTGGTGTTGTAACCGAATGTACTTCATGCGGAGGAAGTGCCCAAAACATGTTCGCGAAAATATTTCTTTCTGAGATGTTGTCAGAATCTTGTTCAAATCTGAAATGACGTCTTCTTTGAAGAACAAATTAATGCTGGCACTCATTCTGTTTTCTGGTTCTACAAAATATCTATAGTCATGTATTATTGGGAAAGAATAAGATTAGATGTTATTCTAAGAAATCGTCCAACCTTATGTAGAGTGACCAAGACGTAAATGTTATAGACTAAATATTCAATTAGATGATACACACTTCACGTCAGAAATGCTAAAAGACCATGACACATGCCTATTGGGGAACATCACATTTTTGACTGACCAATACATTCTCATCCCCATCACAACTCAGAGTGCATGTGCATCATTAAATGTGAATCTATGTAAACAAAATAGCTATGCAGATAATGAAATGTAAACTCCAATTAACCAAAGACTTAACACTACAACATACAATGGAAATACTCTACATCACACTTAGTATTTAACTACTAGAGCTTGACCCACATTTCCTAACATTAATATTACTGCTTATGACAAAAAAATCTAGAATTTCTAAATTTAGGTTCATATCAGATCATGCATCTGTATATATAATGTTACTGTACTAATCAAAAAAATCCATTAAACTAAATTAAACTGACCAATCAATCCTACATATACAACCTAAAAATATATTAACTACAACAAATGGATCAAATAGAGTTAATCAACATATATATTACCTGTGACAGGTTTTTGTTTACAATCTTTTTCTTTTTGGTGCTGTGACCTGGTACTTCTTCTTCAACAGGCATCTTTCCTTTTTCCATCGTTGGGTTCTTTGTCCCCGTCCATTCGAAATCTGTGTTCACTAGTCTTCGAACTGATAGACGGTTGCCTGAGACATTTGATTGTGATGACGTGGTGAATGAACGAGTAATTCGACGATAAGGGGTGATTTCGAGATAATTCTTGGGTTCACAAATCTCATAAGACTTGGAGGAACGGGTGCGAGGTGATGGGGTGTCACTTAGTTCGTTCTTGGGTTCGGAAATCTCAGACGACTTGGACGAACCAACTGCTTGGTGTGTTTTGATGGAGCCCATGGACAAACGGCGATTTGAGACTACAACGGCCGACGTACGCTTGTCGTCTAGCCGTATCCATACAGAGCCCATGGAAGAAGTATTTTTGTTGGAATCCATGTTGGAAACTTAGGTAATCGAATTAGGGACTGTGATTTCGAATGCATATTATTCTACAAAGGCTAGGGTTTTTAACCGAACGCGATATCCTAATCAACGGAAGAATCGAATCAAATTGGGGATATGTGTGATACGGTGATTGTGATACAGTGCGATATAGGGGATTTAGATGCGGAATGATAGATGTGTTTGGCATATTTCTTTCTCTTTGATTGAATTGAGAAAAGAAAAAAATGGGATGAAATTGGGGATTGAGGAGAAGAAGAAATCTGGGGAAACCGTGATATTTTAGGTAGAGGCGCGTTTGGGGTAGATTAATTAAGGGGTGTGATTGATGGAGCCTTTGAAGGTATTAGATTAGCTACTATAATTAGATTAAGTAATCATATTTTTGGTTTTACTACAAAAAAAACAGTATTAATAGTTAAACAACCAGGTTAAAGTATATTTTAAATAATTATTGAAAATGAGGTGTGTGGCATAATTTCCTCAATCATAAATAACATATCGTGCATTGCATCTCGCAAAATAATTGGGTACCCAATGCTTCTTGACCTTTTGAAAACGGGCCTACAACATTTAATGGTCCATTTGACATAGCTTTTACTTTTTGATTTTACTTTCCATAGAAATTTTTTTAAGAAAAGTTGTCTTAACTTTTGTTTGAAAACTAATTTTTAAAATAACTTTTTATTCGGGAAGTGCATTTAGAAGCACCCACATTGGACCAACTTCCTTTAAAAACTCTTCTAACTATCCAAAACACTTTCGTAAAAGAGGAAATTACAGAAAAATAGGCATTTAATTTTTCAAATTCAAAAATCAGTTCTTAAGTTTATTTAATAAAAAATCAGGTATTAATTGAATTTATAATTAAAACCCTAATTTATTTACATTCCTTTGTCTTAGTCTTTTCTGTCTCTCTAAACACTCCGTGTTTCAAATATTTTCCACATTCTCTCTCTAAACCCACCCAATCGCCTCCTTCCATTCTCTCTCACCTTCTCCTCATCATCACAGCTGCCGCCTCTTTCGACCATGAACTCCTCACCTTTCCATTGTCACCGCCTGTCGTCGTTACCCAGCCCCATCACCACCGTCAATTCATATCGCCGGCTAGGAGCTTCAATCGTGACGGTGAAGCTGTAGGCAACGCGACATGAGCTTCAATTACTCCTCACCTTTCTGTCGCCGCCATCCGCTGTCATCGCACAACCCCATAACCACCGTCAATCTATTTCACCCCGGAAGGAGAGCGAATCGCCTCGAGTTGCGACGCAAATCCACCCACTCTACCGACTCTTCGCAGTCGAAGTATCATGACGTTGCGTTGCTACGTCGACGGTGTTTTGTGTGGTGGCAGTATTTTGTGTGGTGGCGAGGTTTATGGTGGTGGTTTTGTAGTGAAATTGGTGGTTTGTTGGTGGTTGTTGTCGTGTGTTGGTGGTGGTTCTGGAGACGGTGGTTTGGTGGCAATGGTGGTGGTTCTGGCAAGCCGAGGCAGTGGTGATGTCGGAGGTCGCAAGTGTTGGTGGTGAAGAGATTGAGATTACGGTGTTCCTAGTTGTCGTGAGGTGATGGTGGTTTGGCAGCAATGGTGGTTCTGGCGGGCCGAAGGTGGTGGTGCTACCTAAGGTCGCAAGTGTTGGTGGTGGTCACCAATTATTTGGTCAACGTGACCATTAAATTTGTTAATTTGTGTCCAATAAACAATATGTGATCAATGAAAAAATAATTTTTGACCATGAAATTATATGTGACTGGTAGGAATGTAAAATGCATATTTTTTCCTCCTTATTTTATGCGCTCGTATGTTTATTTTGTGCCAAAATGTACTCATTACATTAATATTTTGATTTAGGTGGCAATTCTATGGATATAGCGTAATTTGGAAAAAATAGGTGAAAAGGGATCAAAGTGAAAGAAAATGAAACTTTGGGGGACCAAAATGCAATTATTCAGAAGATGACCCGAATGGTGAATCAAGTATGAAATTGAGTTAAGTAACACATTGTGATATCATAAAATGTTAGAAGAAGAAGGAGAATGAAGCAAGACCAAAGGGTAAATGAAATAAAGTTTGGAGACCAAAGTGAATGCATGTGTACATAGAATGTAGTATAAATGTGTAGTGTAAATGCATGTGTATATAGAATGTAATATTCGTGTGAGGAATGATGGAGAGATTCTTGCTCATTTCACAAATTTCAAGGAACAATTTTCAATACTAGAATTAATAGCATTCCACCATCATGGATTTTTTCCTTAATGATGCCTGTCTAGTCTTGTCTTATTTAAGCCCCTTATTTACATTCACAAGCTACCACTCACTATTATTTTTTTTCACTCCAAATAATATACACATATACACGCACAGAGCCAATGTGGTAATTGTAAGAGGGATCAAGCAATTTTATTCAGTCTTTATTACTCTCTCTTTTATATTTTTTACAGTAAATATACTACATATGTTTGGATTATTATTACATTTCAAGAAAATTATTATGGGTCACATATAATACAATGATTGTTATTACGTTAAAGGGATCGGAGTTTAGTAGCACTACACATAAGAATTATTACTGCCATGTTCAGTAAAATTCTTGTGTCTCTATTATATTGATTATGATTATTATGCTCCTTTAAGTTATACACAATAATAATTCATGGCGTACTTATGGGGATTTTATAAATCTCACTATATGATTTTTTTTCCCTTTGAGACAATTGATGGTTCGAGACAGTCAACGTGGAGTTGGCAACGGATTAGGCTAGTTTGAAACACAACTTTTAAGTTTCTTTTTTTTTTTTAAACATTATTTAGGCTATGTTTTACGTAAGTGCATTATTCTTTAATATTAAGATTTCAAAATTAATTATTGAAGTTAAAACCGTTTCTTGTTACTATTTATGTCCCTATGAAAAAAAAATCGAATTTTATTTAGTGACACTCGAATAGTCAAGGATTCGGGTCATCACAGTTGGTATTAGAGCTAAGTGTTTTTTTTTTTTAAATTGATTTTGTAGACTTAGCATATATTTTCAAAATTTTGAACTTTTAAGAATTTTCTGTTATAAAAAAAAAAATTGAGTTACCATTCATATGAATAGTGGCGCGCATTCGTTGTTCATGTGAATAGTGATGCACAGACTGTTTACCATGAACAGTGACTGCACGTCACTGTTCACGACAGTGACGCTGCATGTTTTTTTTTCGAACAATTAATTATTCACATTAATGGGCTGCCCCATTTTTTGTAGAATATGTGTATGAAATTTGGGCTTTTATTTGATATGGTATTGGAGATTTATTTGATATTATAAGAGCGCATTTTTTAATTGGTTTATTTAGTTGGGCTTTATTATCTAAATAGCCTAATACTATATAAAAGCTTTAGTCCAAAAATAAGTTTGGGTCCAATAATTATGATGGTTTTTTTTTAATTTTTGAAAATAAGTTGATATTTAAAATGAGAATTAAGTTGTTCTAAATTACTAACCACTATGCAATCCTCCATGACTTGACTTGAACCAGATATGTATGCACTTTAAGTATTCATATCATCTCACTTATGAAAGCATGCCTATTACGCGTAATAACAATCATGAATATCGTGACAAAATATGAATATTATTTACGATTTTATTTAGGCTTGTTATGCATAAAAGTCAATAATAATATGAAATTTTGAATGTTCTAAGTGTTTACTATTATACATATGATATTATTGATAGAAGACCTCAATCTTAGATTTTATACTAATGTAGAAACCATGAGATAAATAGATGATATCTATGTGATTTTAAATGCATGTTAAGCTTAGTGGGAATGACTCAACTAGAGATTAAGTGTGAAATAATATAGAATCACATATTACACGAATAAGATTAATAATGAATACATGTATAATAGTTCATCCCTTTATCACTACCTTTCTAAAAATAAGGGAAAGAATGTGGATGGTCCTTAATACATTCTCTTAAAGTTTCAACTTCTGGTACAATAATTTTGTCATTTATCACTACCTTTGTATAAAACAAAGGAAAAACTGTGGATAATTATTGGTACTTTCTCTTCCATTTTCAATTATTAGTACTCCTCAAAAAAATTATTATTTTTGAAAAGTTCTTTTGGAAAGAAAAGTAATTACATTAATTTCTTTCCGATAGATTATTAGTGGACAATGTCAAACCATTCGAACTAAGAGGCGCAATCATTTTACTTGATTTTCATTTATTCGAGGATATGTCTGCTTCAACACAAGAGTCCAGAATGAGTTGAATAAGATCTGAGTTTTCTGGAACGTGGGGACTACTGTTACTGTTATTAATTATCATCTCTACTTCCTTACGTTAGAGTTGAGGACCCCATACTAGCACGTCCCATCTGTTTGACTCATATCCATGCTTTACGTGATGTTGCCGTTATGAGGAACTTGTGGATTGGTCTTCACCATATCTTCTTCGATATTGATGATCCATGGCTAGTTGTGGAAGAATTTAACGTTATTGCACATGATGGTGAAGGCACTGGTCACAATAGTTGTGATCGAGGTACTACTGCCATCTCTGATATGATGTTAGATTGTAGTTTGGAGGATGTTGGTTTCCTTGGAAACTAATATACCTGGACTAGTGGTTCGATCAGAAGGAGATTGTACATGGTACTCATTAATTCCACAGTTGCAGTATCCTGTCAACAGCTTGTAGTGAGGCACTTGAATCGAGAAATTCTTCACGTTGAAACAAGGATTGTATTGGTGGAATTGATATGTATTTGGTGATATTTTTCAACAGGTAAGAGATGCAGAGGATATGGTCGATGAGGTTGAGATTAAGTATGATAGAGACATTACACTGGAGCATCATAACTTATTGCATCATGCACTGTTCACGTTGGGTATGTGAAGGAGACCACAACACTCCATACTTTCAAGTCACATATCATATCAAGACTCAGGTAGTGGAAGTTTTGGGTACTCCTGCCGACGTTCAGACCT